TGCCAGATTAGAAGAGGTGTTAAAGAACAGCCAGATTAGAAACAGAGTCTGAGGTCTTTACTGCAGGTGGCAAAACAAGGACAGGTCCTCCCCCTTGTGAACCTTGAGGATGAAGACAATATATATATATATATGTATACATATATGTACAACACAAATGCTCCAGCAAGGGGGAGCCAGGACGACAGGTCAGGGGGGAGATATCATCACCACCCCCACAATTGGAGATTGGGTACCAAGCCCCAATAACAGACTTGGATGAGCTGCAGCCACTGTGGTCACAAGTGAAGTGACAGTTGCAGGGCAATGATAAATGCTAACATTTAGTGTAATACCAAAAGTGACTCAGCAGTGTCGGTTTGAAAGCTGTGGTGTGTGTTAACATTGCCAAGTGTTACAAGTGTTAGCCAGCCAAAGCTAATGGCCAACCTAGTTCAAGTAAGGCTGTAGTAGCAAAACAACTCATAGGTGCTGCTGTACTTCACAGCACAGGATTCAAGACATTTCTTCAGCAGCCACTGAAGTAGCTCAAAGGATATACTGCAGGTTTACTATAAATATGCTTGAAAAGGTTCCTGACAAGTAACAGTGCCAAACTCTAAGATGAAAAATAACCAGGCTCGATATCTATGGCTTTCAGCAAACTGTAACAAGGTTAAAACGTCTTCCATCTCTATGTTCTACAAGCACAGGACAAAGCTATTTCTACATGCCTGCAGATGTTTACAGTCCATAGGTCCGCTTCCGTTTCTTCCCTACTCACCTGTAAACATAAAGCAGCCAGGTGAGACAGTGGTTTTCTTTTTTCTGCTGAGCATCCAATGCGGCAACCTGGTGCGTGCTGTGTTTACTGCAGCTACAGCAACCGCCACACACTCTGCTTTCACAAGGAGGATGTCCTGATATACTACCAACAAAACACTCACAGATTTTATTACCAGGTGGTGTGTAATCTAATCTACCAGTCAAAGGTCTGACTGGCTAAGATGTGATATAAACAATCAATGAACTTAGCCATATTCAGGATCAATGAGATATATGTTGGAGAAACACACTGTGAGTTTGGGATAAAAAAGTTGCTCTTACAAAATGCAATCAAATATAAAGCATTTTAAAAGCGCAAAACAACAGTACAGACATGATTTGAGATGCAGTTTCCCCGGGCCTGTGCCTTACAACAGCCAGCAAGTCACTCACATATGACCCAGTGTGGTCAGCTGAGATAAGACAGAGGTAGATAAAGGCTGATCAAAGAAAGTAAGTGCAATAGAAAGGAAGCTGTCCTGTTCACTTGGTGGGTCTGTGTTTACAAGAGTCCATTAATTAACTATTATTCAGTTTACTGGCACCTGAGACAAAACTGAGAAGCTGGAACTAAGTCATGTTTAGCATATGCGCTTGATAAATGACAATGATCAAAAGCAGATGTATCTTCTGTGAGTCCACAAATCCATAGTTTGACTAATAGCTTTAGCTCCGACAGTAGCATGTAAAGGACAGATGTTTAACCATATGTGGAGGTAAACGTATAACAGAGACTCTTATTTCCTGTGTTGTCATATACTGTAGCTACATATCTCAACCCAGTCAGTCTGATAGATTAAAAATGTTAGACTGATTGTATTCTTGGGTGTGGCAAAATAACAATGTAAATTAATAGTCGTTTGAATGTTAATAATCTTATAGGGCATAATCATGTCCCACCCAAAAACAGAAAAATGGAAATTTGCCTTCCCAAGGTGCCAAAGTTTGGCCATCTAGTTCCATGTCAACAATAGCTAATCACCAGTGACATGCGGTGAGGTTGACAGCTGGTGAGGCACTGACTCTTTTACAGTCAGATTTACAAATACAAATGAACCGTTAACAAATTGTCTGTTAACAGACAATGTGTTATATTTTATGTCTCATATCAGCATTCTTCACACAAACGTGACCCATATTTAA